GTAGCTGTGTAAACTGCACTTACAAAAACTGTCATGGAACCTGTTTTAACATGTGCAATCACCCTTCAACAATCCTTTTCCCATTTCAGTCCACAATCAAAAATCCACAAAAATTAAAAATATGCTCCTTACAGAATCCAGGTACAGTTCTGGGCTCTGTACTTTCACAAGAATGTGAAGGGTGAGAAAAAGTGTAGTTGTCATGACAATGGATCAGAACCCCTCAGTATTTCTGGATGTATTGAATGTTCAATTTCAACATGTGTTTTTAATCGAAAGGGCACTATCACAGCCAAAGGCTGAGTGTGGATATAAATTCAGTGACTCTGTAATAACACTGTGTGGACCCATGGAATGTCATATCTGGATATAAAATCATAGAATTCCTGTAGTGCAGAAAGGGGCCATTCAGCCCATTGAGACTACACTGACCCTCCAAACAGCATCCCATCCACACCCTGCCCCCCCCACAGCTAATCCACCCTAACCTGCACATCCCTAAACACTATGAGATAATTTAGCACAGCCAGTCCACCCTAACCTGCACATCCCTGGGCACTATGAGATAATTTAGCACAGCCAATCCACCCTAACCTGCACATCTTTGGACTGTGGAAGGAAGCTGGAGCACCCGGAGGAAACCCACACAGACTTGGGGAGAATATGCAAACTCCACACAGACAGTCACCCGAGGGAGGAATTGAACCCAGGTCCCTGCTGCTGGGAGGCAGCAGTGCTAACCACTGAGCCACCATGACACCCCACAGAGGAGCCTATCGTGTGTAAAGTGAATGTGATAACTGCTATACAAAAGAGTGAGGGAAAAATCATCGGAAAGGCTACAAGGGAAAAGATAGAGATACCAAGAGGCTGCCTATTCACCAGCGCATCCCTTTTCTTAAACTGAGTTGTCAATATACAACCCTCTGGCACCATCCCCAAATCCAATTGGGATGTATCTTCCTGGATCTCCCTCAGGGCACATTTTTCCAGAATAAGATTGTCCGCCTTTTAAGGACTTTCTCTTTAAATGGATCATCCTATGTTCCAGTTGTAACATCCTCTCCCTTGGTGAAAGCAAATACAGAGCACTCACCCAGTATGTCATTCAGATCCTCTGCCTTCCCAACATTCCCTTTGTAACTCTTTTATTATTTAGGTGCTCAGAAAAGGTTTTGGATTCTCCTCAGTTTTCATCACTAATCTCCTCTCACACACTCTCGTTGTCCTTCTAAGGACTTTATTTCAAAACTTTCTGTTTCAAAATGTTGGACTTTACTTTACAGATATAGAGTCATACAGCATGGAAACAGACCCTTCGGCCCAACCAGTCCATGCCGGCTGTAATCCCAAACTAAACTAGTCTACTGCCTACTCCTGGCTCATATCCCTCCAAACATCTCCTATTCATGAAATTATCCAAATGTCTTTTAAATATTGTAATTGCACCCACATCTATCACTTCCTCGGGAAGTTCATTCCACATGTGAATCACCCTCAGCGTAAAAAATATTGCCCCCATTTCGTTTTTAAATCTCTTTCCTCTCACCTTAAAGATGTGTCCCCCTAGACTTGAAATCCCCCATCCTAGGGAAAAGACAACCCTATCTATACCCTCATTATTTTATAAACTTCTATAAACTCCTACGTTCCAGTGAAAAAAGTCCCAGAATATCCAGCCTTTCCTTATAACTCAAACGTTCCATATTCGACAACATCCTGGTAAATCTCTTCTGAACTCTTTCCAGTTTAATAATATCCTTCCTGTAACAGGGCGACCAGAACTGGACACAATATTCCAGAAGAGGCCTCACTAATGTCCTGTAAAACTGCAACATGACGTCCCAACTCCTATACTCAAAGGACTGAGCAATGAAAGGAAAGGTTTGAAGGGATACGGGCCAGGAGCAGGCAGGTGAGATTAGTTTAGTTTGGGATTATGTTTGACACAGACTGGTTGGAATGAAGGGTCTGTTTCTGTGTTGTATGACTCTACAACTATGTAATTTGAACTTTCCATAATCTACCTGCAAATTTACTCCCAAAAAACTCTTTGCCACAATTTTGTTGGTAATTTAGGAGAAAGAAGATTCCAGGACAGTGTTCCCTGTTACACTGACAGGAGGCACGGTTGCTCATTCCATTCATAGAGACTGTTGTTTCTTACTTGACCAACAGAAGGCGCTGCTACACACAAGTATTCTTTACACATTTACAGCAACTCCCTGGAGTCCATTTTTCCCTGATAATGTTTAAACCCTGTCCTGGCCTTATTCACTTAACTTAATCAACATATTGTTAGAAGCGTATGAACAGGAGTAGGCCACTTAGCCCATCAAACTGCTCTAACATTCAATTCCAACACAATTGACCATCTCAACCACATCACTTTACGGCACCATCTCCATTTTCCTTGATATCACCAGTCTTCAGAAACCAATCAATTTATCTTGAACCTGCTGAATGATAGACCGGTCACTGTCACTGAAAGGAGTGGGGATGGGGGTTAGTAAGGATATGTGTTGGGCCAATCACGTGGTCTAGCAATGAGCCAACAGGATTGGAGAAGAATGGACCCCCCCCCCCCCCCCCCCCCCCACCCCACCCCACCCCCCCACCCCAACCAGCTGAGAACATTTGACATAACTAACCACAGGATTACTGATACAGGAGTGCTAATACAGGAGTGCTAATACAGGGCTGCTGATACAGGAGGACTGATACAGGGCTGCTGATACAGGGCTGCTGATACCAGGCTGCTGATACAGGAGTGTTGATACAGGATTACTGATACAGGGCTGCTGATACAGGCAGGGGACAAAGGAGGAAGCACCTGGCCCGGAGTCATACATCCGTAGTAAAGTAAGTAATGATGTAAGTCCACCCAGTGGGTCAACACCAGGCAAGATCCAGCCAATTATGAACAGTCTCATTTGGATGATATAGTCAGTCACACTAAAGATCAGATACATATCAGCAAAGTTCGGAATTTTGGCAGTACCAACTCCAGAGACCAACCTACGATTCAGGAGGTGTGCCCTTCGAATCAGACAAAGTGATGGAACCAGGTCAGATGGGTTGGACTGTGACTGGCCAGCATAGTCTCTCCTCAGTCGTGGGTAGTATATCTCTGCCCAACATATGAGCAGATTTGGGATGTGTTAAATAAAAAGTGTGAACTCAAAGTCCAGTTGTGTTATTACTGATATCCACAGGACCCTCCAGGGTGGGTCTCCAACAAAGTTGGCGTCATAGGTGGGCCTTCGATAAGAAGTGACCTCCAAAGCCAAATCACCAGACCAGTGCCCTCCATGTTCAACCTGAGCCATATTTATGAGGGTAAATGCCCCGCATGAAAGCCAGGATTTGAATAACCAAGGGCAGTGCGAGGCTCAAGAGTTTATGTATCACCAAATCGGATATCAGTAATAAATGATAATGGTAATCCTGAGTAGTAACCCATGGGAAAGGCTCTTAGTAAAGTATTTAGAAGAGTAATAGAAAGACCGGAAGGAACGAGAGTAAGAAACTGATTTCCAGGGAAAGAATGGCAATTGGCGAAAGTTTTTGGGAATGGGTGGTAGAGAATGTGAAGGAGAGATGGTTAGAGAAAAATGAGAAACCTGTAGCAATTGGGATTATCAGGAATATAAGAAGGAGAAGAAAGGAAGAGAAAGAGAGGTAGCAATGCTAGAGGAGGCAACTCAGAAATTATGGGAAGAAGTGTGAGACTGACCAATATGATTAATGATTTACAGGGACAGAGAAATGCGGATCTGGTACACATGAGTCTGTTCCAGTTTCAGTGTGAAAAGTTAGCACAACAGAAGCACTGAAAGTGTGCAGAGGGATATCAATCAATTAAATGAGTGGGGAAGAGTCTGGCAGATAGAGTACAATGGTGGTCAATGTGAGGTCATCCATTTTTGTAGGAATAACAGCAAAATGGACTATTATTTAAACGGTAAAAGATTGCAGCAAGCTGCTATGCAGAGGGACTTGGGTGTCCTTGCACATGAATCAAAAAAAGTTGATTTGCAGGTGCAGCAGGTAATTAAGGCAGCAAATGGAATATTGTCCTCCATAGCTGGAGGGATGGAGTTTAAAAACAGGGAGGTTATGCTGCAGCTGTACAAGGTGCTGGTGAGGCCACACCTGGAGGACTGTGTACAGTTCGGGTCTCCTTACATGAGAAAGGATGTTACTGGCACTGGGAGGGGGTGCATGGGAGGTTCTCCAGGTTGGTTCCAGAGTTGAGAGGGTTGGCTTATGAGAAGAGATTGAGTAAACTGGGATTATGCCCACTGGCATTTAGAAGAATGAGGTGGAGATCTTATAGAAACATCTAAAATTATGAAGGGAATAGATAAGATAGAAGCAGGGACATTGTTTTCACTGGCGGGTGAAACTAGAGCTGGGGGGGGCACAGCCTCAAAATAAGGGGGGAGCAGATTTCGGACTGAGTTGAGGAGGAACGTCTTCACCCAAAGGGTTGTGAATCTGTGGAATTCCCTGCTCAGTGAAGCAGTTGAGGCTCCCTCACTGAATGTTTTTAAGGCAGAGATAGATAGAATTTTGAACTGTAAAGGAATTAAGGGTTATGGTGAGCGGGCGGGTAAGTGGGGCTGAGTCCACAAAAAGACCAGATGGCCTACTCCTGCTCCTGTTTCTTATATTCTTAAGACAAGGAAGCGAGAGACAGGGAACCAAGAAGGAAGGGACGGGTGGAAACAGCAATGTGCTGACTTAAAAAGAGCTAGGACTGTAATACAAAAAGCCATTGATGAGAAACAGGGGAGTTTGGGATACCTCACAAAATGCATGAAGCAGATCGAAAGGCTACAGAGTCATTTGGCAGTAGATAAACTGTGCTTTTGGACTGGGCCCAACAGAAGGGAATAGTGACGAGGAAGTAGACTGGGGACGCTTGGCAGATGAGGCCACCAAATATGGGCATGAGGATAATTGGGAGTGGGATGCCAACGGCCCTCCAGTACACGATGAGTGCCCAAGGCCAACAGCCCCGTTCCCCACGAACCCGATCACAACCACTAGGAGGTGGTACAACTGGGAAATAATGCAAACAGGGTCCTTGGTGTGACCAACCTGCCCCTGATGGCATACACTGCCCTGTATGGTGTACAACAGTTAAGGGAAATAGGCCAGATATCAGACAATGATGAGTCAGAACACAGGAAGGAGATAGAGGGCTTGGTGACATAGTGCAATAAGAACAATTTCTCTCTCAATGTCAGCAAAACAAATGAACTGATCATTGACTTCAGGAGGAAAGGAGGAGGACACGGCCCTATCTATACCAACAGAGTGGATGGTTGAGAGCATCACATTCCTAGGAGTGACGATAACCGACAAACTGTTCTGGACTCACCCATGTTGATGTGATGGTCAAGAAGGCACAACAACACCTCTTCTTCCTCAGGCAGCTAAGGAAATTCAGCTTATCCATAAGGACCCTCACCAACCTTTACAGAAGTATCATAGAAAGCATTCCATCCAGCTGCATAACGGCCTGGTACTGCAACTGCTCTGCCCAGGACTGTAAGGAACTACAGATGGTGGTGTGCACAGCCCAGACCATCATGGAAGACAACCTTGAATCCATGGGGACCCCACTTACATGGCCCGTTGCTGCAGAAAGGTGGCCAACATCATCAAAGACCCATTGCACCCCGGTAATGCTCCATTCTAACCTCTTCCGTCAGGCAGAAGACACAGAAGCTTGAACACATGCACCAACAGGTTCAAGAACAGCTTCTTCCCTGCTGTTACAGACTGATGAACGGACTTACTAACTTGAAATAATGTTGATCTTGCTAACATTGGTTTTGCTTCACACACCTTTGTGCAGTTGCAACCTTGTATGCCTCACTCTGTCTAAGCACCCTGTGATCTGTATGTCCTTGTTTGCTATGATCTGCCTGTACTGCTCAGAAAACAAAACTTTTCATTGTACTTAGGTACACGTGACAACAACAAATCCAATCAAATCAAATCAAATCATAGGAACCTGGGGACGTGGGTAGGACCCAAGCGAATTGTTCCAAGCCGTCACCTAGCAAAGGATGATCCACGGATGAGATGAAGAACAGAAGTTAATTATAATGTGTCTACACTCACGGATCCACTCTACACCCCTGAGACGCAGCGGCAGGGTGGAAGGGACTCACCGAGAACTTAAACAGCATATAATGATTGTAATGGGTGTGAATAGGGGGGAGTCCTGTGGCCGACGTTCAAAACTGCTCCCAAAGAAAGGGTGAACAGCCATCAGCCTTTGGCTCTAGACAATAGGCAGTGTTCAGGGGGTTTATGGAACTGTATCAGATTGTGACAATTTGAGTGATAAAATGACCAATAGATGGCTAAGAATCCCAGCAACGCACAGTACTGAGGAGTCAAGAAAGTTGCTAGATCAGTTTGATGCTGCTGATGACACTCACACGGAGGCATGGCTCCTGAGAGTGACTAGGAGGTAGAGGAGAAAGGTGCAAGTAAGCAGAGGGGGAGAGCCAAGATAACTTGTGGAGAAAGCCAGCCCCCTATGGCACTGCCACCACCCTATGAACAGGATGGAGATCGGGCCAGGGTCAGAGACAGAGAACACCTGACAGGAAGAGGACACAATCCCACATTTAAAGACTACAGTTGCTGGGGAAAAGGGCATAATGTGGGAGGTAAAGTATTCATTAGAGTACAACAACCCACCTCATTTTTGGCTCCCTGATTTGCAGGCCCCTATGAGATAACAGATAAGGCCAGTCCCTCAGTATACAGGGTCCTCATGGCAGCCGGAAAAACGGGATGATATCACATTAATCAGTTAAAATTAATGGGAGAACAACAAGCAGATCACTCCCACCATCTTCTGATTGATGCCTTGGAATGTGAACCCAGACCATCGCCACCTCAACAACCACACCAGCTACCGTGACATATCTGGAGGCTACAGGAGGATATTCCAATCCAAACGATAGATGGGGTCCCAATCTCACCAAATTGTTCCTACCCTTTGGGCTGGGTATTTTAGGAGTGTCTGTTTCAGGGCTCGGTGTTGTGTTGGTTTTGTTAATGGGTATTGAATCAGTTTCTTTTTAAGGATTGGGTACTGTATCCATATCTGATTCAGGGCTGTATGCTGTATCAATGTCTGATCCAGGAGTAGGTTTTCTATCAGTGTCTGGTCATTGTATCATGTCTGGTTGATATTTCATGTCTTCTTCAGGTTTGGGTATGTCATCAGCCCCTGGTTGATGTCTGTGTATTGTATCGTATCATTGTGAGGTTTTGGTGTGGGTGATGTATCAGTGATCTGGTTCAAGGCTTTGTGTTGTATCTGTCACTGGTTTTGGGCTGCGTATTAATTCAATGTCTGGTTCAGAGCTAGGTATATTTTTTAGTGTCTGATTCCGTGCTGTGTAATATACCAGTGTCTGATTCAGAGCTGGGTTTTGTATCAGTGCTGTGGGCCTGGAGTCACATGTAGGCCAGGCCAGGTAAGGATAACAGGTTCCTTCCCTAAAGGACACTAGTGAACCAGATGGATTTTTCCCCAACAATTGGCAAAGGAGTCATGTTCTTCATTAGATTCATAGTTCAAGATATTTTATTGAATTCAAATTCCACCATCTGCTGTGGCAGGATTCAAACCTGCGTTCCCAGAATGCTATCTGGGTCTCTGGATTAACAGTCCAGCGATAATACCACTAGGCCATTGCCTCCCCCCATCTGTTTAATGCTTGCCTTTATTTCTAAGTAGAAATGCATTGCAATGATTATTCTATTACACGGGCCAAAAGCACAGAAGGAGATATCTATCAGTCAGATACCAGACAAGGGCACAAACATTAAAAGGTAACATTATTATACTTTGCAAATGTTTAGGCAAAATGCAGAGAAAAACTCAATATTACACGCAATTTATAGAAACACTATTGTCATACACCAGTGATATCATGGACCTTTTCTTTCTATTTCCTGTTATTGCTTGAAAACAAGTGTAGAAGTATAAACCATCAGTCATAGTTTAAACTTCTGCTCAAGAGCAAATGTTTTGTCACTGCTAGTCATGTGGTTTTGGGACAGATCATGGGTTGACAGCAATAAAGCCATCTTGTCCTGCAGGCAATTACCTCCCTCTCCTCAGCACTATAAGTTAAAAGTCAAATTAACTTCAAAATAAAGCGGAATGTAAGCTTGACTCAATTTGAATCTTCCAAATTTTGAGATAGTGCTGCTACAGGACATGGGCATTGTTTGTGAGGTCACCATTTATTACTTATCCCAAAATGCCCTTGAGAAAATGGTGGTCAACTCCCGTCTTGAAGTGCTGCAGTTCTCTTGATACACAGGTGCACCCACAGTGCTGTTCAGAATGAACATCCATGAGTTTGACCCAGTAACAGTGAAGGGACGGTGACATGTGGTGATATGTAACTTGAAGGTGGTAGTGTTCTCAAGCATTTGCTGCCCTTTTCCAAAAAAAGGTGCTGTCCAAAGAGCGTAGGTGAGTTGCTGTAGCGCACTTTATAAATTGTACATACTGTCGCCACTGTTCAAGGTGGTTAATCAAGCAGGCTGTTTTTGTCCTGGACGGTATTGAGTTTCCCAGCTGTTTTGGAGATGCACCCAGATCAGGCAAATAGAGAGCATTCAAATTTACACTCCTGACTTGCGCTTTGATAGGCCTTGTGGAGAAAGGAGGCGAATTACTGATGCAGATAAGTATTACAGGCAATGAATGAAATGAGGAGCTAAACTAAATCGTGGCTATCACATCTCGTTTTCTTTCATGTCCTACACTCAGCATTCCTTAGTCCTCTTTCCACACTGAAGATGATCCTGGTGAAATTTGAGAAACTAAAGTAAGATGCACATGAGATTATTTTTTATGTCATATGCTGCACATTTACATTACGTTACATTCACTATCCCAGTCAGGAAAAAAAACATGCCAGGAGACTGCGAGGGAAGATTAGTACTTCTATTTTATTAAGTAGAATCTGGGAGTGAAGCTGCTTGACTATTAGTATCCAGACTCTCATTTTTCTCAGGGAGAGAGAGAGATGTAGTGGGACAGACAGAGGGAGAGGGAAAAGGGAGAGAGAGATGGAATGGGAAAGATAGAGAGAGAGAGACAAAGAGAGAGAGACAGGGAGAGAGACAGAGAGAGAGAGAGATGGAGTTGGAGAGAGAGAGACGGAGTGGGAGAGAGAGAGAGGAAGAGAGACAGAGTCAGAGTCAGAGAGAGACAGGGAGAGAGACAGAGAGAGAGAGGTCGAGTGACAGAGAGAGAGAGGGAGTGGGGGAGAGAGAGAGAGAGACAGAGTGGGAAAAAGAGAGAGAGACAGAGTTGGGGGGGAAAGAGAGACAGACAGAGTGGGGGAGAGAGAGAGAGAGAAAGAGAGACAGAGTCAGAGAGAGAGGGAGACAAGGAGAGAGAGAGAGAGACATGGAGTCAGAGAGAGAGAGACAGAGTGGGAGAAAGAGAGAGACAGACAGAGTCGGGGAGAGAGTTCTGGACATTCATTTCTGCAATGCTAGACATTTATTTCTCCATTTTCTAAGATCTTGTGAAACTAAAGAAGCTGTAGCTCAGGTAATTTTGTACCTAAGATGGTGCTGTAAGTGGCGACGTATAAACTTTTCACTGTACTCATTGAGTATATGTGATAATAAAGCTAATTCAAATTTAATTAATTCAATTCAGAATACCAGGACCAGAACAAAGCAAGTAGAATAGGATGACAGGCAGCACAAGTACTCATGAGCACCATAAGATTGCTGAGGCATCTTCATTGCCTATGAAATTATTGATAAGATAGCTGAGGACAAGTTTGGCAATAATAGGGCAGTACTCTGCTCAACTTATCTGAGCTGTACAGTCAAGATAAACATGTGTTGACTATTGAATCAGAGGACTCCAGATTGGGTTTTTGATGAGCAACTGAGAACAAGATGTCTTTATGCCACCTCACTAATCAGGTTATGGGCATCTGTGACAATATTAAAAGGTCAGTTTTACATTGGTACAGTGCTGCATA